TTCTGGCCCAGTGGTTCTTGAGAAGAAGATTTTTAAAGATTTTTCCTATATATTTCAATGTAAAACTTGTATTTCCTATTGTGGCCCCGCCCTACCCCCGGGGGTCATGATTTAAACAATTTAGAATCTACACTACCCCAGGATGCTTCCACGTAAGTTTCAGCTTTTCTGGCCCAGTGGTTCTTGAGAAGAAGATTTTTAAAGATTTTTCCTATATATATTTCAATGTAAAACTTGGATTCCCTATTGTGGCCCCGCCCTACCCCCGGGGGTCATGATTTTTACAATTTAGAATCTACACTATCCCAGGATGCTTCCACATAAGTTTCAGCTTTTCTGGCCCAGTGGTTCTTGAGAAGAAGATTTTTAAAGATTTTTCCTATATATTTCAATGTAAAACTTGTATTTCCTATTGTGGCCCCGCCCTACCCCCGGGGGTCATGATTTGAACAATTTAGAATCTACACTTCCCCAGAATGCTTCCATATAAGTTTCAGCTTTACTGGCCCTGTGGTTCTTGAGAAGAAGATTTTTTAATGACCCCACCCTATTTTTGTCTTCTCTTGATTATCTCCCCTTGTGAGGGGACTTGGCCCTTCATTTTTACAATTTAAATTCCCCTTTATCCAAGGATGCTTTGTACCAAGTTTGGTCAAAATTGGCCCAGTGGTTCTTGAGAAGAAGTCAAAAATGTGAAAAGTTTACAGACGGACGGACAGACAGACGGACGGACGGACGACGGACAAAATGTGATCAGAAAAGCTCACTTGAGCCTTCGGCTCAGGTGAGCTAAAAATGAGACAAAAATAATTTGTCTTATTAAATGTTCATCAAGGACCGAGAGGCCAATGTAAGAAATTTCAACAAAGGATTAAAATAGTACAGAAGCATTGATAATTTGTTAATATACTGTATGGTGATAGTGATAAATGGGGCTCAGATTTATAGAACATAATTTATAAACTGTTAATGAATATTAAGACCAATTATTTTGTTGATCATGATCACCCTATTTTTCTTGCTTTTTGGCAACAAATTTTCACCTTTCAGTTCATTTTATACTCTATGCATCCTTTAAATTGTTGTATCATACTCAGGTGACCCTTAAGGCCCTTGGGCCTCTTGTTAAACCTCGTTTCAGACAGCAAGAACGCTTAATTTGTTTATAGGAAAGACATAGCCAGAAGGGATTTTTTTCCTAAAGGCTATTAGTAAATTTAAAGAGTGGGTTACAACCCCTTCACCCCTTCAAAACTCGCCACTATAGATACGCTTATAAATACGAATCTTGCATGGTACTTGATTCTAGCACAACTTTTTTTGTACAGTTCCATATTTTTTTGCACATGCAACTTCAAATGTGCTAATATTGCCAATCATAGGAAAAAATTATGTAAATTAGACTGAGAAGCTTTTTTCACAATGCAACATTCTGTTTTTCTATTGGTAATTTTTTTTTTTACATGTAACTAGAAAGGGGAAAGACGATACTACCTTGCATAAACTTGTGTCAATTCTTGGTATACCAAACACCTCTTTTTTTAAGCAATCAATTTTTTTATGTAAAAAGCCTTATTTTGTTAAAGACTTTGTTGACACTAACAAACGGCGAAAGACATTGGTAAAGATTTTGAGCTAATCGCTTTTTTGTGTCCGATATCGAAGGTCAGAGGCATGTTGATTTAGTTCTGTGTTATTTTAATTTTTCACAAATGTAATCTTCAACTTTATTTTTATGAGAAGTTTGAGACTTTATTCATAGAAAATCAGAGATATTTACGAGATCGAATTTCCTTATCAATCTTCCATTTTTTTCACGCAAATTTATTTGGGTAGGGTTCCAAAACGTTAACCTTTCTCATAACTTCTAAAGAAAAAAGGAAGACTATATTTTTATTTATTGCACATTATTTTCCCAGAGTAAAATCAAAGAGAATTACAACTATGGAAGCTATACATTTTTTTTATTATTATTTATATGCGTCTCTTTCTTACACCGGATAAGTAAATGATCTTGATTTTTTTTTTAAAAAAGTACAACTGTGGAAACTTATTTTATTAAATGTGATAAAACAAATCAAAGAATGTACGACCATGTATTCTTGCTCTAACAGTGATAGAACATCATTATAGCCTTGTTAGGCTTTCCTTTAATGGGGATAAAACTTCTTGTATTATTAATGTAAAGTATAGTATAACCTTTTAATTTTGTCATTTAAACTTTAAAACTTTTAGAAATAAACACTTCATATCATAAGGCTGCGTGATCTAACCCCTGTGTATTTGCCTACCAAAACCATGCAGTTTTTTTTTTCTGGTATCAAAAATGACACAAGGTCATTCTACAGGTTCCTTTTGCTACAATCCACATGGAGAAAAATGACACCAAGGCCATAATTTCTACAAAAAAGTGGGTCATTTTTCTACGTAGAATATTGACCAGGGGAACCAATTTCTACGTAGACAAATGATCCCCGGTCAATATTCTATGGGGGTCACTTTTCGTCGTTACATCAGCGCAACACCGACGACGTCAAAACGTAGCTCGTGGAGTTTTTGAATTTGTTGAGGAATCGTGCGTCTTTGCATAAATTCAATACTGCGTGTTATTTTCTTTTAGTTATCGAGTTATCCATTTCCAACGTACTACAGTTATGAATAAATCAAGGAATAAATTCTTTTATTAGACAATTTCCCAACCCCGATGAAAAACCTAAGTGCTCGAAAACTTAACGGTGGTCTCCATGTATGACGTCCAGCTCTAGCCTTATCACTTTGTCTTTATTTTTGTTGGTCTACCAAACGCTTCTTCCATCGGATAACCAGTCCATTCATCTTTGAACCTCTTTCACTATGTATAAACCTGTGATCGATACATGTATTTGTGTCGTTCCCAGCTCTTTTCCGTATGAGCAGGAGTCAAACCCCGCTCCACACAAACTGAGCGATAATAGTGTTTGTGCATATAACGTCATATTTTTGTTATTTATGATGTCAAAGTATTGATTTTTTTTTACACACGGGTACTGTAGATCATAAAGTTTCTACGGATATAATTTTTTGTCACATTATATTTCTCTATAGCCTGGTATTAAAGAAAGCATTGCTGTAAATGCTATTTTTGAAAGTCAAGAAATTGCCGTGCGCCGACCACCGATAAATGTTGTTTATAAATGCATATGGCATTGATACCTTATTTTATTAAGCCAAAATGATAAAGGTATCATTTCCCAACATTATGCCAAAAATGAATAATTTGGTCAGGTAGTTCATGAAATATTTAAAAAATTCGCGTTTTTCTGGGACAACCCTCGTATTTCTAGTTTCTTTTTATTACATTTTGGAAGAATGTCTCCTTGTATAAAGGAAACGCATAGGTTTTTGGCATGGCTGTCTGTCTTGTCCATAAGACTGTAACAGAGTCGTGTTCTTATCATAATTGTCTGTTAGGTTTTCTGAAGAGTAAATTTTTACATTCATACAAAGTAGAATCTGTTGGTGACTTTTTTGTTGTTGCTAAAAGTGGGGGATATTAATTTAGATCTGTCCATCCGTCCTTCCGTCTGAAACACTATAGTTTCCACATGAAGCCTCTAAAACTCCTTTAGCTTTTGCAATGGAATTTTATTTCATAATTTTTATTCCTTATACATAAAAAAAAGACTCCTTTTGATTTTCAGGTCAGATGGCAAGGTCAGAAATCCATATGTTGCATACAATGATTTCCAGATGAAAGCTAAAGTTAGTTCTCTTTCAGCTCTCACAATTAAACTTTAGGTGATGATTCACTTAAAAGAAAAATCATTGATTTTAGGCGTATAGTGAAAGTTTAAGGTTACAAAATCTCATATTGTACAATGTATGAATGGTAGGCTTTAGTTCTCGGATGAAATCTCTAAAATGTTACTAGCTTTTCCAATAAAATTTTATATCAATACTCCTAACTTAAAGAGGACCATGGCTGATTTTGAGGTCAATATAGGTCAAAGGACAAGGTCGCATATTCAGATATTGTATAAAATGGTTTCTTGATAATAACTCAAATTTTCTCTGAGCTTTTTCAATGAATTTTAGGTTGATAATTCTCTCTACCTTATAAAAGGCCCCTATTGATGTTGAGACCAAAAGGCGAAAGATAAAGGTACAAAATCGTAATTATATGGTATGGATTTCTCTTCAATACTGTCTATTACAAAATCATTACCCCCATTGATTTATAATTGAAAGACCAAAGGTTAAGTTTACACCCCCCCCCCCCCCTCCACACACACACACACACATTCACACACACAGTTCATAATATTGGACATGGGGACACAAACGTCACTGTCAGTCCCTAATTGTAAATGTGTGTGTTTGGTGGTGGTGGTGGGGGGGGGGGGGTGTGAGTCTACTTTGAGTTACTCAGTTAGTGTAAATAAGAAAAGGGGAAAAAAATCATATGCTCACACTTCATACAATTTGCTTAGACTCATTAAGCCGTCAAATCAATGATTCAAATTCATCTGGATAAGGTTCAGGTCACATGAAGGAATGTAAGAAATTCATCTTATGATTATAGAATCAACTTGGTAACATAGAAGAATAAAAAGTTCTATATGTACAAAATTATGTATCAGCTATAAGCTTTAGCAGAGCAGTACATAGAACTCTGTAAATGTTGGGAAATGACACTCAGGTAGATCTCGTCTTTTGAATTTTGATACATGTAGATGACCATAGGTCCATGGTCCTTTTGTTTTATTTCAAGATTTCCATAGGAAATATCTGCTTGACTTTGTATATCTTTGGAGAGGAAAGGAGTTATATAGGTCTTTTATATAAGAGGAGAGATGCTTTTAACCCTGTTTTAAGAGGTAAACACTTATACTCAGTATGTGGACCTAACAGGAAATTACAATATGAAGTGTTACATTCCAATCTAATGATATTACGCTACAATAACACTAGAACGTTTTTACACTGAAGACGGCAGATCTGTGTTGTTCCTGTGGAATCTGGATCACAGAGTGATGAATACATTTCTAAAATACTCGTTTTGGATTATTCTCAATTGTCACATTTATCATTCCCAGTTATCCAGAGGTATGTTACCCTACATTTAGGCCTAAATTGAAGTTTAGTATAAACAGTGTGGATGGCAATAGTATTTATTTTCATCCCTCTTGTATCATACATATTTCTATGTACACATTTATCATCCTTTTCATATACGTTCAGATTATCCTCTCTTGTTGAGTGTTGTATTTTTATTTGAATGCTGTAGAATCACAGAGTACACTTCCATGGGTCTCAAGAATAAATGCTTATTGTTGTTGTCGATATTTCATACATTAGTTAAATTTCCCTACAAGTACATTAATGCGGTTTAAAATTGGTCATTTTTGTAGAGTATGAACTGAGAATAAAGGAAGCTGGGTCGGATTTAGTGAATCCATTTCGATGTGAAATAAATAAAGGAGAAGAGGTATGTAAAATCTGTATGTAGAAACAAAACGGGGTGGTAAATCTTTATTGACAAAAAATGTAGATTATTGATAGATTTAGGAAAAAGAAACAGCATTTGTATTTTCATAATGGTAACTCCGTGTTTTCGTACATAGATTCTGTGGAGGAAAGATGATAATGAAGTGATTTTCATTGGTAATACCATGATTTCACAAGATACACGGATTAGAGTTAAAAACGATACTTCAACAGATCGAAGTTTATCAATTAGATATCTGAAATCTTCCGACGAGGGTCGATATCGGTGTATAAATAGAAAAACTCAAGCCATCATTAGTGACTATCGCCTAAAATTAAAAGGTAACAGCTTGTAAACAGATATGAATATTTTCAGATTACTTGTATAAAATTATTGTTTGATTTATTTATTTATTTTTTATTCATTTGCTAATCGTATCTTTACTTCCAAAAAGTGTTTTTTTTTTTTAACGCCGAAGAATGTCGAATTTAAAGAATACTAGTAATAACGAAATTATTTATTTGATAAATAATAATTGTCATAAAAATAAAGTGATGATATTTATAGGTAGATATATGCATGTAGTTAATTTTCACATTCTATAACACGACCAATCAAAAAAATTAAAGGAACCTTTTCACTACTTTGAATGAAACAGCAAAACCTGAGATACCAATTCATAGTGGGGACAAAGTGAACGTTTTAGAATATGGCACAACTCGTTTATGGTGTAATGCAACCGGAATTCCACAACCTACAGTCACGTGGTATGCTATGGAAGTAACAAATCAACAGGAGGAAGTATTAAGAGGTACATTAATTATTATGGTGGCATATTTCGGCCCCCTACGTGCAAGATAAATTATGTTAACATGTATGTCAACATGGAAACATAATAATTATGTTGAAATATACGTTATCAATCTCTTAAGAGAATCTAATTTGAATGTTGGTAAACATACTTACTAACGCCGTTAGCCGACTACGTACGAGCAAGATGCAACAGAATTATACACGGTGTAGTACCTAAACGGTTGCTATCAGAACAAAAAAGCGTTCATTGTTTCTATTCGTAAATTTTACGGCTACTAGCTGAAATAAATATGTCGGGAAAACTTGGAACAAGAGGTAAAATTGTCAGAAAGTGACCCCAAATCGATTTAGACTCAGAAAAATCCTTGTGCACGGAACAAGTAAGGGATTTCTTTAAATGATGCCAGATGTATTTTGTAGAACAACCTTCTAAAACTTTAAATGTAGTAAAATTTCCGAAGCATGTACCCATTCGCAAGTCAATATACTCCAAGTTTCCATGCCTTTTTTCATCATTTATAGGTTAGTTTGAGTTCATTTTGGTATGTAAAGATGTGTCAATCTATAATAATTCGTAGATATGAAATTTTTTTTATAAAAAAGTGTATTTTGAAAGAGATTTTTGGACAAAACACGATCTTCTTAAGTTACGGTTACTATCAGAAATGTTGGTATGTAGGCACCGGCTATAAACTGAATATAATGCACCGGCTGCTATTTGAAATATAATTTAATTGTTTTTCAATCAAGAAAGAGAAAATTAAAAATCTTATGGCTGCACAGGCATAGTAAATATATTTAAAACATCCAAAGAGCAGATGGAACACAATGTCTACATGTACAATTGACATTTATCAACTTAACTCGAATTTGTTGTGTTCTGCCAAGTAGAGCTGATCTTCGAAAAACATCACTATACATGTACAAAATCAAAAAGAAAGCTATACGAAGGAAACGTAAGTTTAAATTAAATGAAAGAACTTTTCCATCAGTACTTCAAAAGCTTTGGAAAGCTTTCGAAAACTATTTCTTTTTAAATTTTTGTAGCCTATATGTATACTTAGACCTAAATAATATCTAGTAAATTTTCAGTTTAACCTTTGACGGTAGTGCTTTGGTACGCTGTTGCATCAGAAAATACAATTAACACGCATTATTCAAACCATCGGATCTTGAATGGAGAGGATGTCCGATTCCCCCTTTTGGATGATTTTTCTGGATTATTAAATTTATGCAGATAGAAGAGACAATCACCCCCCCCCCTCCCGGGGGTGGGGGGCGCTCAAAAGAAGAAGGTCTTTCAGATGGAGAAGACTGAGCTACTTGTTTGCTTTTCAATTTTCTTATATTTACTTCTATTTCTCTCTCTGTCTCTTTTGAGTGGGCTTTGAAACCCCCCCCCCCCCCCCCCTTAGAATAGGTGGAGATCCGAACAGGAAAAAGGCTAATATTCTATCCAGTAAGTAATATATAATTATGTACATTTAAAGGAGAGGGCATTACAATTATTTACAGACAAACGTAGTCTTTTTCGAAACAGAAGGGGGGGGGGGGTAATTGTGTGCAATTCCACTTTATTATTTTCAATACATGTACATATTTTTTGGACATTAGGAGTCTTTGACCATACTGTACTCGTACATCAAAAATTGAATTTAAAAAAAGTAGTTTATTGAACTGGATGTATAATATAGTAGCATCTATAATAAGGTTTGTTATTCGAGCGAGCCGCTCACTTGGATGAAACTTGTAAGGATGGTGTATCTACGGTTGCCTTGCTTACACATAGGATCCGATGCTGCTGATCTGGCCTTCAATTTTTGAAAAGTGTTTGAGACAAGTCCATTCTAAAGAAACTATATTACCACAACTCACTGAATAAAAGTTTATAGTTTATATCCAACCAAAAAAACAAAACAAAAACAAAAAATAAAACAAAAAAACATGAGCGATCCTTTATTTGTGAATCTGGCGTAGTTACTCAGGTGAAATCTAATAAATTCAATGGAAGGTGCACATAATTTAAAGACTAACAATTTTATTTTGTGCAGGATACTTAATAAATGTACAGGGTATTCACAAACACTACTATTATTATTAGTCATACCATAGATAGAGATATTGAAATAAATCAATTTATCGTTATAGGATCGAAATCAAGGTAATATAAACAAGTCAGTTATTAAAAAGAATATAGAATGAACATTTCAAATATAGTTTTCTAAACTATTGCATAATAGATGTGAATTAAGGACGTGTATTAAAGAAAAATTGAAAACTTAAGACATTTCCAATAGAAACCGGTGTTGTTGTCTAATAGTAGCCGTAACATAAGTTTCTCCGCATGAAAACGCTTTTGTTTTTAAGAAACCGTTTGAAATGGGTAATTCTATGAAATAATCAATACGTTTTACAAAAATACACCGATCTGTCGATTCATTTTTATCAAATATCTAAACATTTTGACGCTAATTAAATATATGTCTTATGTGCATGTAAGTGTGTCCGAGACTTACGACAGTTTTTCGTTCTATACATCAACAATCCTTTTATTCATAAAAAATTAGAGATACATGTTAGTTTTAAAAGGTATGTTACGTTCCGTAAGGGTGAAATAATAAGCAGCTAAACTTTGATAATTGAATTATTGACCATTTTATTGAGCCAGCGAAGAAAAATACTTACCATTTCGTCCATTTTTTCCAATAGCAACCGCACAATTTTCAGATAGCAGTAATGTACGCGCATTTTTTTCTGATAGCAACCGTTTAGGTACTACACCGTGTTATATTGACATGCGACTTATTTATGTTAACATGCAAGATTTATGTCTTATGCGATTTCTTTATGTTAACATGCAACATAGTTATGTAGAGATGCGGCTTATTTATGTCAAGTTGCAAGATAATTATGTTAACATGCAACTTATGTCAACATGCGACTTATTTATGTCAACATGCGAATTATATTTTAACATGCAAGATATTTATGTCAACATCCAAGATAATAAGTTGCATGTTAACATACATATTTTATAGTACATACATATTTCACATATTGACATAATTTACTCGCATATTAACAAAATTATGTTAAATGTTGACAAAAATAAGTTGCATGTCTACATAATTATCTCGCATGTTAACATAAATACGTAGCATGTCAACATAATTCTGTTGCATCTTGCTTGTATGATGTCTTATAATGGCGTTAGTAAGTAAGTTTACCAACATTCAAATTAGATTCTCTAAAGAGATTTTTAGCCTGTATGTCAACATGATTATTTTGCATGTTGACATAAATAAGTCACATGTCTACATAATTGTGTTGCATGTTAACATAATTTATCTTGCATGTAGGGGGGGGGGGGGATATGCCAGCATAAATTATACAAAAAGTGTCATAATATTTATGATTTCATAAGAATGAAAAAAGGTGCATAATTGTCTTATAGTTTATCAAATGATTTTAAAATCAGTAAATCTATTATAAAGGAAATATCTCGCACATAACTAGAGCGAAATTACAAGAGAAATAATACTGTACGACTAAGAAATTGGGATATTTCCTTATATAACAATTGAATATATATTTCAAATACATATAGACTGATTCCTTTTCTTTTTAGGAGCAAACTCAAATTAGTATCATTGTAATAAAACTCGTGTTAAAAAACATACAGATAATTTGTATTTAAAACGTTACAAATGTTTTATTCAGATATTGGAATACGGGGTAACATGCTTGGAATTCAGAATGTGTCAAGGTTCTGCGCGACAAAGTTTCAATGTCGAGCAACAAATAATTACAAGGAAAATAAAGCAGCTGTACACAACATAACTCTCAATGTAAAATGTGAGTATCACAATCAGTACTAGCAGTAACTCTCAATGTAAAATGTGAGTATCACAATCAGTACTAGCAGTACCTCTCAATGTAAAATGTGAGTATCACAATCAGTACTAGCAGTACCTCTCAATGTAAAATGTGAGTATCACAATCAGTACTAGGAGTGGCTCTCAATGTAAAATGTGAGTATCACAATCAGTACTAGCAGTAACTCTCAATGTAAAATGTGAGTATCACAATCAGTACTAGGAGTGGCTCTCAATGTAAAATGTGAGTATCACAATCAGTACTAGCAGTAACTCTCAATGTAAAATGTGAGTATCACAATCAGTACTAGCAGTACCTCTCAATGTAAAATGTGAGTATCACAATCAGTACTAGGAGTGGCTCTCAATGTAAAATGTGAGTATCACAATCAGTACTAGCAGTAACTCTCAATGTAAAATGTGAGTATCACAATCAGTACTAGGAGTGGCTCTCAATGTAAAATGTGAGTATCACAATCAGTACTAGCAGTAGCTCTTACTGTAAAATGTGAGTATCACATTCAGTACTAGCAGTACCTCTCAATGTAAAATGTGAGTATCACAATCAGTACTAGTGGTACCTCTCAATGTAAAATGTGAGTATCACAATCAGTACTAGTGGTACCTCTCAATGTAAAATGTGAGTATCACAATCAGTACTAGTAGTACCTTTCAATGTAGAATGTGAGTATCACAATCAGTACTAGTGGTACCTCTCAATGTTAAATGTGAGTATCGCAATCACTACTAGTAGTATCTCTCAATGTAAAATGTGAGTATCACAATCACTACTAGTAGTACCTCTCAATGTAAAATGTGAGTATCACAATCAGTACTGGTAGTACCTCTCAATGTAAAATGTGAGTATCACAATCAGTACTGGTAGTATCTCTCAATGTAAAATGTGAGTATCACATTCAGTACTAGCAGTACCTCTCAATGTAAAATGTGAGTATCACAATCGGTACTAGTGGTACCTCTCAATGTAAAATGTGAGTATCACATTCAGTACTAGCAGTACCTCTCAATGTAAAATGTGAGTATCACAATCACTACTAGTAGTATCTCTCAATGTAAAATGTGAGTATCACAATCACTACTAGTAGTACCTCTCAATGTAAAATGTGAGTATCACAATCAGTACTGGTAGTACCTCTCAATGTAAAATGTGAGTATCACAATCAGAACTAGTAGTAACTCTCTATGTAAAATGTGAGTATCACAATCAGTACTAGTACTATTCTTAATGTAAAATGTAAGTATCAAAATTAGTACTAGCAGTAGCTTTCAATGTAAAATGAGAGTATCACAATCAGTGCTAGTAGTAGAAAGTACCTTTATCAGTGTTCACAAATGACAATTAGTTTCTAACTTCTCTTGATAATTTTTCATAATATTCATTGATTTATTTTCCTAGTATCGAAGCTTACTTTCTATAGTATTTTATTAATTTTTTAAAAATTCTTTTCAGTTTTGCCTGATGTTAAAATAAAAATAAGGCTCAACGAAGGAAATTTTAAGGTTCTGTCTTCTTTTGCTGGTGACAGAGCAGACAAAGTAGAATTGGTGTGTGACGTTTTAGCCAATCCCTTAACAACTGTCACGTGGTACAGAGACGAAATAGAAATAGGGAGATACTCATCAGGAGAGACTAAACCAAAACGAAACGACAAGGAATCGAACAACTATGTGTACGAATTGTCCAATATCCAGATAAATCGAAGGGAGCCTAGATTTTTGTCTTTTCCTTTAAAATTCACTCTAGATGCTAAATATACATTTTCTAGTTACAGATGTATTGTAATGAATGAACTAGGTTCTGTAGAAGATTCTGTAAACGTTGTGCCTAAGCAAAATTAAATCATTCGAAGAAAGATGGTTTCCCAAATCTGCTCTGTTGAAATCTACATTGTTTGCTTCGAGAGTACTGATAGGTATAATGAAAGAAAAAAAACCCCAGTTGTTTAACCTTAGCCAGAACACTGTTTTGCTTTGTGTTTTAGAAATAAACTGATTATATCATACAATGGAGAAATAACTTTCAACTGCATATTTAAGGCAAGGGATGAATCAAAATAGTACTCGAACTTGCGACAAAAAAGAAAATGTCGCCTAAAATCAAAGATTTTTTTTCTAATTGCTTAATATACCAGGAGAGCTATGATTCTGCAGCTAGGATATGCAAATTATTATCGGTCTTGTAGAGTAGGTGGGCCACTCACGTTTTCAAATCCAATATTACACCGCTAGAGTCGAGGGGACATACTTCTTCAGCTTGCAAAAGCAGTGTTTCTTGTTTTGTTTTTAACTTTTTTTAGGTCACCTGAGTTTACATAGGTGACCTATTGCTATCCGTTTTCGTCCGTCGGCGTGCATTTGAACTTTTTCAGCTTCTTCTCTGAAACCGCTCAATCAATTTCAACCAATTTTGTCATATAGCATCTATGGGTGAAGGGATGCAAAATTTGTGAATTTCATAGTCCCTGCTCCCCTGGGGCCTAAGGGGTGGGGCAAAAACCACTAAAATTTATGCATTCTTTAAAAATCTTCTTTACTCCTGGACATCAAGCAGTCAAACTGTTGGCATGATTGTAATAAGCATTGAGCCCTCTACCAAAATTGTGAAATTCATGGCCCCAGGGTCAGGGGTTCTGGTTCTATGGTCGGGCTATATAGATCATATAGTGAAAGTGTATTATTTCTTTGAAAATCTTCTCTGCTCCTGGGTATTAAATATACTAACTAAGTACATAGTTAAGAGCAAGAGTGCCTCTTCCAAAATTGTGAATTTCATGGCCCCTGGGTCAGTGGTTCAGGTGTTAGGGCAAGGCTCTATTGATTATAGAGTGAAAATACATTAATTCATTGAAAATCTTTTCTGCTACTGGGTATAAGTAAACTAAGTACATAGTTATGATGAGCATGGCTGCCTTCTCAGAAATTATGAATTTCATGGCCCCTGGGTCAGGGGTTCTGGTGTTAGGGCGGGGCTCTATTGATTATGTAGGGAAAATGCATAAATTCTTTCAAAATCTTCTCTGCTCCTGGTTTTTTTTTTCAAACAAAGGAAGTGCATGGTTATAATAAGGAAGAACTAGATGAAATCCCGCGCAAGCGCGGGGAATCGAATTTATACCACTAACGACAGAAAATATATAATTGTAGTTTCTACTGACAGCCTATAGGCTTATAGCAGGAAGAAATACTTTGTTCAAAATCCTGCATGATGTAGATGAATGTCTCCACCCCAACCCCCCACCTCACCCCTACCCTACCCCTTTTTGTAAAAACTTGAAAAACAACAATTTCGTTAATTGGCGTTTATTGTGAAACCTGTTATACTATATGTTATGGATATTGTACTTAGATGCTCTTATTTCATTTCCATCAAGGATAAAAGCAGCGAATATGTACATTTTACTCATAAACAAATAAAAATACAAATATTTATTGGCGCAAACACAATTACAATAATTGGCAAAGGCACAACACATTGATAAACTGCATGATTTTTTTCGGAAGGGGGGGGGGGGGGCAATTCACAAATACTTGGATCTTAGTTTATAAATATGCATGTACCTTATTTATACGTAAAAAATGTAGCTTACTTTTTATTTTTACATATCAATAGCTAGGGTACATACATATTTATAAACCAAGACCCAAGTACGGGGTCTGTAAAAATTAGTTTTTAACTCCCTATGAATAGGCCGAGTATTTGATATAAAAGACTGTATTCAGAAAAAAAACCCTGAAATGTATTGATTAAAGCACAACATTTAACACAGCTTTAATTGTATTTGAACAATACCTTATTCATTAATTTTCTCTTTTCATGTTAGCAAGTTTATTACGAAGTACAAATTGTATTTCGGGTTCGTTGCCACGATGCTCTCAGTAAGGAATACATGTATATAAAATTTTATCGATAAATTTTTTAGAAAAACCTACTACATACATGAAATAGTCTTTCGATATATAAATATATTCAAAACTTATAGTGTTATCAATGATTTACCATTATTTCAATGACCATTCATACAATTTTTTTAAATGATCGCCTCGTTTTTCTTTTTAACATCGGGCTCGATGCTATATGATGTTCTAGAAGCTTCCGTCAATATTAAGATCGGTGAATGACGAAAATAATTTGCATATTTCCCTCTTTAATCGGTTATCACAATTTATTTCTTTTATATCATTTAAATCAAGTTTTGATTGAATAATTCAGTGATGACGTTTAATTAAATAAATAAATGATTGCCTGTTGTCAGTTTCATTAAAAATTGCCAGTATCTTAGATCCGCCAACCGGAAACGCCACCGTACTCACGTTTTTGCTATTTCATGGCTCTTTATAGAAAATAAAAGTAGACTTTTAATTTTATGTACGATACCGACTATGCGAGTGAAATCTAAATATAGTTTACGGACATCATCTTGTATCTAGTGCATTGTTAGAGGAGTAAGTAAGAACTCTGGTGCACCCGTTTCGGAGTTTATTTGCAAAATTTATTAATTTATAAGTATAGATGCCTCTTCCAAAATCGTGAAATTCATGTCCCCCGGGTCAGGGTTTCTAGTGAAGGGGGGAGGGGGGGGCTCTATTGATTTTATAGTGAAAATGCATAATTTCTTTCAAAATATTTTTTTCTACTACTAGTTATAAAGCAAAGAAACAAGTGTATAGTTATGATGAGCAGGGGTGCTTCTTCCAGAATTGTGAGTTCATGGCCAATGGGTCAGATGCTCTGGTGTAAGGATGGGGCTTTATTTATTTAGTAATATAAGGAAAATGCATTTCTTTGAAAATCTTCTATGCTTCTGGGAATATCCGAGGCAAACAGAGTAAAAGTTTTAATATGCAAGAGTATTTTTACCAGAATTTTTAACACCTGGACCATTTAGTCAAGTGTTCTGGTCCTGGCCAGGGCTCTATTAACTTGTATTCTGCTGAGCAAAGTTATTCCCTTTTGCCATTCACCTTTGATAATTAATCACTGTAAATAATGTATTTAAAAGTTTAATAGAATAAGAGAATTATGCAAGAATATTTTTTGTATAATACAAAAAGTACTTTCATAGTTTTAATGATCAGGTAGACTTGGAAATAATAGATGAATAAAAATGAAACAAAAATGTGAGAAGTAATAATATGGGGTTAAAAAATAGACATTTTGTTAATAGTCTGCATGGTAATAGTGATAATGGGGGACAGATAGATACTAGACCAATTATTTTGTTGATGCTAATCAAACTATTTTTCTTGCTTTTGGGCAACAAAGCTTCATTCATCAGTTTATGGATCCTCTAAATTGTTGTATTGTACTCAGGTGACCGTTAAGGCCCTTGGACCTCTTGTTTAAAAATAAATTCTTTTTTCACTTTGAAGAACTACTCAATTAAAATACTGACAAATTATCAATAACATAAATTTTAGAATTTTCTCAAACTTTTTTGTAAATAGAATTGAAATAAAATACTGGGCTGTGTAGGGCAAACAAATTATCAAGTCTCTAAAGGTGCCCCATACTCATATAAAAATGGTGAACAAACAGGTACCGCTGCGCCGAGAGAGGAAAAGTGGTAACTGACCACTAGTACCACTAGTACACTACCCTCAAAATTTCAGACCACGGGGCAGCGGATTTCGATGTCCCCGAGCCTGATGATTATTCACTTAGTATTACATAGTAGGCATGAAAACCTAAGGGCTGTATCTCGGAAACTAGAGATGGTACCATTTTTTTTCACAGAAGTGGTAACTGGCCGCTAGAACCCTACCCTCAAAATTTCAGACACCATGACTGATGTATAAGTTTTTTAATTGCGAACTGCGTTCTACAATGCAATTCAGTTTTGAATCTCGAATTACGTTCCAACATCTGATTGTCTTCAAATCATTGAATCTACTCAAAAATTAGCTCATAAGAAATTGCAGAATTAGTCACTCAAAAAATTATAAGATTCGATGCCTCAACCCATGAAAAAAATGATGATGATACAATCTCTAGTTTCCGAGATACACCCCTCAGGTTTCTATGCCTACTATGTAGTGCCATGTGAATAAAAATCGGGCTCGGGGACATCGAAGTCCCATGTCCCGGGGACTGAATTTTTTAGGGTAGTGTACGAGTGGTCAGTTACCACTTCTATGAAAAAATGGTAAAGGTACCATCTCTAGTTCCCAAGATATACCCCTCAAGTTTTTATGCCTACTACATAATGTTAAGGGAATAAACGTCTGGCTCGGGGACGTCGAAGTTCCCTGCCCCGGGTTATGATTGAGGGTAGGGTACTAGTGATCAGTTACCACTTCTGTGAAAAAATGGTGATGGTACCATCTCTAGTTCCCGAGATAAACCCTTAGAGTTTTTATGCCTACTATATTATTCTAAGTGAATAAACATCGGGCTCGGGGACATCGAAGTCCCCTGTCCCGGGGTCTGAAATTTTAAGTGTAGGTTACTAGTGGTCAGTTACCACTTCTGTGCAAAAATGGCTATGGAACCACCTCTAGTTTTTGAAATAAAACCCTTATGTTTTTATGCATACTATATAATACTAAGTTTGTTTGTTTATTGTTGTTTAACGTCCCTCTCGAGAATATTTCACTCATATGGAGACGCCACCACTTGCCGAGTGGAGAGCTGCAAATTTTGTCCTATACTCGGCACTTACAGCCATTGAGCAGTGAGGGATCTTTTTCGTGCCAGCACCTACTGCGACACGGGACCTCGGTTTATACGGTCTCATCCGAAGGACCGGTCTCCACGTCCTACAGTGGATTCGAACCCGCGACGTAAGGATCAACTCCTTACTCCGCGACTCTAGAGCAGACACTCTAACCACTGCGCCACGCGGGCGACTATAATACTAAGTTTTTTTGTTTGTTTGTATGTTGTTTAACGTCCCTCTCGAGAATATTTCACTCATATGGAGACGCCACTACTTGCCGG